CTGATTCCTAATTTGGTGTTTTCCGTCAGAAAAAAAATATTATTGAGTATAAACTGACCCCATCATTTCCGTATTACAGCGATCAGTGAATATTTCAACTAAAATTTCAATAATTCAAATAATTTTACGAACATCGCCCGAAAAGTGATTAGGTGAGCAATTATTTGACTACCAATTCTTCAATATTTTATAAGATCAGTTGGGGGCGTTCAACAGTGCCGAAGTACAACAGTGCCGAAAATGAAAAAGTGTTCAACAGTGCCGAAAATTTTGAATGATTTTCGGCATTGTTGAACTAGAATTATATTTTCGGCACTCTTGTACTTCGGCACTGTTGAACGCCCCTCTAAGGGCAACACAACAGTGTCGAAAATCATTTTATTGTTCAACAGTGCCGAAAATCATCAATTTTCGGCACTGTTGAACATTTTTTCATTTTCGGTACTGTTGTATTTCGGCATTGTTGTACTGCCCCCCCCCCCCCCCCCCCCGATCAGTTGCAATTGACTCAAATTAAAAACTTGTAAACGTTCAACAGCTGATGTTTTTTTTGCGATTTAAGACACCAAATGCTATGCCCTTTTCCGGGAAATTCCGGTTTTTGCCTGTCAACAAAGTCTATCAAAATAGTCTTATAAAAAGTATCATATAATGGCATCACATTGGTAACATTGGTAGTCACATCCGATAGAATCTATTTCTGAATTTTTCTTATCGCTACCTCCCCCCCCCCCCTCTCTACCGACTTCTGAACTTTACTCCCCCTGTGTCTCTCTTTCCCGAAAGCGATAGGGAAAAATCGTAAGCAGTTTTATATTCGTTGTTTGCTTAGATATTCAATTTTTTTTGAAAGGTGCCTATGGCCTAATAAATTCAAAAATTGGTAGTTTTCGAATGAAGATTTTGGGGAAAAAATATTATTTAAAATTAGCTATACACAAAATTATATTCCATTTTTGTTTCTTGCTGAAAGAATCTGTATGCAATAATATTAACATATTAAATCCGAGTCGAAAATAAAGTTTGTTCTATTTTGTTTTTCCATACTTTTCAGTGGTATGCTGAGAACTTTGTTGTGAAAAGTACAGGTCGACATAAGAGGTTGTTTTGATATACCTGTAATCATTGTTTTTGTTTATTTCTGTGGGCAGATTCAAAATGAAAGTGACCGAAAACTGAAATTATGCTGCAAGTTAGGTTTAGGGCGACCTTAATTTATTCATGGCTGCAATATAAACCGGGTGTTTACTGTAGCATTCACTATCTAAGTGGCCTTTTCTCTATAAAGTTGTTTGGCCAAGGAGAATTTGTAATTGGGAGCTCAAAGGAACTTGGAATGAGCCAAATGACCTAAAATAGCAGAAGGGATCACACGGAATAGGGTACACGGCTGAGAGCCCATCAGCAGGGTGCTTCCAATCAACCGAACGTCCTTGTAGCCGAAACATATTATTCTGTCGAAGATAATACATCTCTTTAAGAAAACCTAATTTTAACAGCTGTTTAGGATAGCCAAACAATATATTTTTGAGTCTAATTTGATTGAGATTTTATCCACGCAAAAAAAACAGGGCTTTTACATAGGCTAGCAAATTATTTAAAGTTAGTTAATTATTTTGAAATGCTCAATATTAACTGTTATTTTAAATTTTTGTCTTCGTATTACTTAACGGAAAACTATCGGTCCACTGAGTTTTCGGATTGAGGTTTAAAAAAGGTAGGGTAGTACATAACAGGGTACTTTTGATTTGGGTGGCGCTCGATTTGCGAGTAAAACAAGCGGACATTTATATTATTATTACTTTCTGAAATAATATCAGGCCTCTGCTGATTTAGAACTTCAATCATACTGCTCGATACTAACCATTGGGCGGGTTCAAACACCCGTAATTCAAAAAACCAGAAAAACAAATTTCAGCGAAATCTGCCAATTACTCAATAAATTTGATTTTTTCTAATATTTGCATTATCGAGATTTGTTACCAAAAAAAATTAGTTTTTGTTAAATTTCAGAAAAGGTTTCTTATTGTTTGCAGTTTTCGGATATCAGCATTGTCGGTTAGTTGGACAATTGTCGGCTTTAGCGGGTTCAGTTGTATCGATTGAGGGTGCAAGTTTAAAGGGAAATAGGGAAATATATAGGATAACATGAGCCCGTAGCTTGGCAGGCAAAAGTTACCCGACCGTGAACAAACTAGCACGGAGGGATTTGAAATCACCAGAGAAAGTTCACAACTGTTTGATACACGCAGTCAACCTAAGAAAATGGGGTACACTTTTATGACAAATTCAGACCATTTTGTTTTGTTTTCGAGTTAGTCGGTGCATATGGTAATAGTAGGCGTACTTAGTCAGGATTTCAAATAGGATTTGACCGAAATCGTTGGCGACAATTTTTGAGGAAAACCAAATCAAATTTGTAGGAAGTTCAATGATTCCAGACAGAAGAATTGATACATCCTGAAATGACAAACAAAATGATCTTGAAGATCACCCAATGTTGACAAAAACATTTTTTGATTAAAAAAAAACAAATAAAAGAGATGGATAATCAAACATTTCTGTAGAAAAATATCAACACAGAGATACATATAGTAATGAGTTCAAAGTAATTTTGTGCATATGGCCCATAAACGTGTTTGTGTTTGCTTCACCATTAGAAAAACTCTATAAAACAGTTCGACTTTTTTTTCAAAATGAAAAGTTAAGTGAAGTGGAAATCAAAATTGTCTCTCGGATGAAAACATCTATAATCATTTCTATCAAGCCTTTTATTACTTCAATCTTTAGCTATTGTGTTTCTGCAATCAGCGTATTTGGGTAGTGTAGTATTACAAACCAATTATGTGTACCCGGTAGCTGAGCGCAAAATGTAAGAAAAGTTCCAACCATGTTAATTAATGTCAAAAAATTCAATTTAAATGTTTTCGAAGTTAAATAATTGATTTTTTTTAATTACAAGTTTTTTTCTGAAAAAATGTTTTGGTGGAAAGATTCATTTCACTTTTTATTTTTTCTACCACCTTTATGGATAGCAGTAGATGCTCGTTTTGCGTTAGCTGGAGTTAAAAGAACACAAAGAACTTGTGTTAAGCTGAAACAGGGAACGGCTTCGTCGAGATTTGATTCGAAGCTTTCAGGACGGCCAGAACTAGTAGAAATACCTGATTTTTCTTGCGCTCGATTTTCGTTTCTTTGATTGGCTTTTTCAATTTGTGCTATAATCAAATGAGATTACTTATCTTGTGAAAAACTCAACAGTGCTGCTAACAAAGCGGCGGTCAATTTTCATATTTTGCTACTAAATTGGAACAAAATTTTGAACTGTTTGATGGCAATCTTCGTTAGTAAATTTGTTTCCAAGAAATTTGATAATTTTTCTCACTTGCGAAACTACTTAATCAGCGGCTGGTTTTTAAGATTCAAGAAACTTGTCCAGTTGCATCAGTTTCAAAAATCCAGAACGTAGAAAACCTCTGAGGTTAGCTTCGCGTTGCGCCTTACGCAAAGCTTGATTCTGGGGTGCTTAAGCAGGTCGAACACCCCCATATTTACAATCCGTGTCTGCCCATATTTTTTGGACATCGCATCAGTTGACGGAAAAATACAAAATCTTTAATTGCATCAAGTCTAGAGTTGTTCAAACGATGCGTTTCACAGCCCAGAAACTCTTGAATTGGCGTTTTTAATTTATCTTGACTTATATGGCCTTGATTCCATTCGCTTCCTTTTGGCAGCTCGTTATGTTTGTCAGGATGTTGCCGTCCGAGGTGCTCAGCTCCATTCGCCACCATGTTGTTTTTTTAAAGCTCCTGAAAAGTTTTTTGCAAATTCCACAAACATAACACTGTTTTTATTCCATCCCTTCAAATAATTTTAGGACATCGTCTTTTTTCAAAGACGTTTCGCGTCCCATTGATAATCAGGAAGCAAGCAAGCTGTTAGTTATTACGGCAAAGCTAGACGTAATCTCTCTTTTGAAGCGATTATTCAAAGAATAGCGGTTGCTGTGCAAAAAGAACAGTAATTTTCCTGCATAATAATCTAGAAGAAATCAAGTGAAGAAAAAAAATTTCATAAAATTCGAAATGAAATTGTTTATGAATTTTATTTGTTATTAGAATGACGTTTAAAAATAGCTGAAGTTTAAAAACAACATTGAAATTTAAAAAGCTCATAATTTTTGAGGCCAATCCTATTCAGAAATTATTTTATTGAGTCAAAAATATAAGATATTTCAATTAAAATTATCTATCCCCCTAATTCATTCGGATAATTTTAATTCCCTGACAATTCTAAACGTTTTTGTTTTTCATACCGTTGTTCCCAAATATCAACTGAATTTGATCAATTTTATTTTGAAGATGGTTAAAATTCTGAATCACTCGAAAACGTTTTTCAGCCAATCAGAGTTGAGTATTGCCTGCTTACTGACCTGTCTGCTTATGCCATGCTGGCATATGGGGAGAAGATGTCAATTTGGCCGAATTTTTTTTACAAGTTGAACAAATTTGGTCGGTTCTTATTAAAAATTACATGAAACAGGGATAGCCAGTTGCTGAGCAAGTATCATAGAATGAATCGATCACGGAATGTTCCGATAAAAATGTACAATTTTTTTCTTTTTTCTTTAAATTAGTGTCGTTTTTGTGTTTGGTGTGATAAAGGAACTACACGCAAGCGTAAAAAATGATGATTTTAGCATAACTGATGGCAGTTGTCCCGAAAAATGAGAAAAACTATCAAGCAAAAAGTAAAGTTATTTATTTTCTAAAAAAATGTTCTATTCTTTGCCCAAAAACTTTTATTTTTTGGAAACTTCTTATTGCCAAGGAAGCGCAAAATTAAGAGCCCAAAATTAGTTTTCCTCTTAGTAAAATCAAGTTTTCATAGCCTAAATGACCATAAGAGTTTCACTGACACAAAGATACAATCTGTGATGTTTACTTCACTTGAAATAAATTGAGTAGGTTTTTTTCGCGTTTTTGAGTTTGAACAAACAATGAAAATACTGAGTAACATGTTGAACGCCCCAGGTCCAGCGCAGTTCTGCTGCTTTCAGTTAAATGGTGGTGTTTGGTGTTGGTTACTTAAGCGATGGCACACAGTTTCGCCAAATGGGATTGGTCCATTTTCAGATCAATCCGGATAAAGAGAGCAAATAAAGCCGAATATATTATACGACGCTAAGATTTAACACGAAGTGTTTTAGTATATATTCAAAGCTGTACTACGCAAAATTTATAGTAGTTGTGATATTACGTAATGTATCGTCCATTTCGAACATTGAACTTTACTGTAGATAGAGTAATTCTAATTCTTTGTTTCTCTTTATACAACTAGCAAAAACCAGAAAGAACACTAATATTAAAAATTATATTTATCCAAAGTTGGACTGTTTTCCTTCCAAATCGCTATCCAGATATTAAAACAAATGCTTGAAAGTCCCTATTCCAATATTTATATTATTTACAAAGACTATTTTTGACCCGTAAGCAACTTTTACTTCACCCATCCCCGGAATATATTTATTTTTAGTTATTATAGTTTGCCTCTCCCCGTAACCTAAAAGAGGAAATAAAAAAATCAATTGCGCTATTTTACCACTTAAAAAACAGCCGCGTCGCCTTTAGAGCCAATGAACTTTTTCATAAATATGGAATAATTTGCACGCTATCATCGACATAATATTCTAAAATTCAAGAAAATTTTTGTCTCAAGTTATTATCTTCGTCAATTTCACACTATTATAATAAATACAACAGGCTCAAAAATGCCAATTGAATCGTAAGTAAGGAGGGGTCAAATCTTGCGTAAATATTAGTGATTAATTGAGATTTTAAGTTGAATATAGCCGAACACCAAAGTTTAAGGTTACTCTAGGATAGAAAGCTACACATTCACTGAGTAAATCACCCAAACTAGTTGTATTTCAGGTCTGATTGAGTGAACTTTTATTTGTTATTTATCTAGCAACGTTGAGCTTTAAAATTTATAAAACTGGCGTAAGTTTCGGGGCCTGACTTTTGAGACATGACCGCATGTACTATCTGCTTTCCGGTGATCTGTTTGTCTCATAATCCCAAAGGTAAGTTTTTAAATTGCCACAAAATACCAGAGCCCAGCCTAAAAGCCCAACCTAAAATAAAAAATCAGACGGAAAAAACTTTCTTTTATTTTAGAAACCGTTGTTCTTCGAATTTCTTTTTAAAAAGATTTTAAAAGAAAATACGTAATTGGTTATCTAACATGTTTAAAAGTGAGTACCATACAAAATAGTGGGTACAAATATGATAGTTCAGTCCCTAAAATTAAAATGGTTTCCCTCAGAAAAATTATTAGGCCTTAAAAACTTCGAAAACATGGCTAGCATTTGTTTACTTGGGTTTTTGAAGTTTAGTCAAAAATTGCTTGACTCATCTTTGATATTGCTTTTTGGTGGGACCGATCTATCATACTTGCACCAAATAGTGTTTGTGCTGACGTGTTTATGTTTTTTTCAACATTCGAAAACATGAAAAGGGGTGTGATTTGGTAAAGAGCTGAAAGAGTCAGTAACAAAGATAAACTTATTGAAAATATCCCCGAATAATTTAATTTTAACTTCAGTGTAAAATTTCCAGTCTGAAAAATTAAACTGAAAAGCGAAGACCGACCAAATTTTGTTTTCAAATGTGGTGTTTTTGTGTGTGCGATGAAAAGAAATACAAAAGCTTAGAAAACCAATCATGATCCAATCATGAAAAAACAAAACAATATGAGAACAACAAAATGTAAACAAAAAATCTTTTTCAAAACTTTTTGCTTTTTTATTTCTGAACTTTAATAATATGTTATTATCAAGGAAGCGCTAAATTAGGCTTCAAATTTTGTTTCCTGGAGTAAGACTTAATTTGGTGGGTATTCACAAGTACCAAAATGAAAACTCAGTCTCAATTGACCCAAAATAAAAAATCAATCGCGTCGGGACCAAAATAATCAGTTGGCCAACGACTACTAAGCCGACTAATTATAGCTCGGGTTTAAGGTCGCCGGAAGGCGCGCTATGCGGCCATAATCGGTTTTTATTTTTTGTAAAAAGTCCTACCCTCTGTTGGCAAGCTTGCAACACGTTGGCGCGACTGCGGCGGTCACTGTTCTGCTATTTAATTTTCTGCGGTAGATAACGAGTTTAATAATTCGTTGGCTCACAATTCGTCTTATCAGAATTTGCTACAAATTAGACCGCATTTTTATTTTGGTACAAATGAAATTTTGGTACAATTGGGAGTTCACCCTAAATTTCTCGCAACCAAAATAAAGCTTTTGTTTATACCTTCTTGCTCGGAATCGGACTAAAAAGAAACATTTCAAACCAGTTTTTCTCGTCACGAAGAAAACTTTTTGACAATTTTTTAGTGTCGATCAAATCGCAACTGAAAGTTTTTAACTTAATATATCAAAACAATTATTTTTATGATTATTTGAGGTGCCTGATTTTTGTGGAAACAACCAAAATAAAACTACTCGAACACAAACTTCCTTCCCGCTTTCAGTGGTCGGAGCAATGATAAATCCACATTTTTTGATAGGCTTTTTAAAACATAGCGTGTACACATGCATTTATTGTGAAATTAGAAAAAGAATTCATCGCCAAAATGGAAAATAGTTTCTCCACACTTATCGAATTTTGTCTGTGACAGGGGTTTTCAGACAAGTTTTTATCGATACTGAGAGATCTTTTTCAAATCATCTTTTTGGAATTAAATCAAACTGAAAATTTTTCGATAATGTATTACACTGGAGTTTCTTTGTGTTTTTTTATATAACATATTTTTTACAGAAACAATTTATCTCAAGTCATAGTTCCACAGGAAAATTTTTTTGAAAAAAAATATTCAGCTGAAATTTATTGTTATGGCTTTCAATTGGGTCTTCCGTCAGTCTCATTTACGATGGGAACAGAAAACTTTCAGTAGTTGTAGAAGTTGATTTGATTATTTTTTGTTCAAAATGGACCACTAGCTCAAATTTCAGTTCTTGTTTCAATCAAGGGTTTAAGTCTGATCAAATAACTCTTAATTAGTGATTTCAAATTCATGCCCTTCTACATAGTCTAATTAAAAACTCCTCAGGTTAGGTAAGTTGATCCGTAAGGTTAGGTTGAAAAGAAACGAAATTGAACACATTGATCGGTTTGCATCAAAGTTCAAAGTTTGCGTCAAAAGGCTGGGCTGAATTTCTAGTTCAAAATTGATTTAGTTTTTCATTTTTTTTTCAAAAAAAAATAAATCAAACTTATGTAGAAAACCTATGAAAAAAAATTTTAAGATCTATTTTTTTCAAAATAACTGAATAATTTGGAATCTTATTGCAAAACACCTCACAGATTTTGTGCAAAGCTATGTCATTTCTGGGATCTCTTTAAATGTTGGTTATTTTTCAGCTCCAAATGTTGGTTATTTTTCAGCGATGTCTGTTCAGGGGCGGATTTAGGGGGGGGGGGGGGACGCCTCTCCCCACCCCCTCAGGGATTCGACCCCTTACCGACTCAAAGAGTCCCCCCTTTTAACTATTTTCAGATATCCAATTTTGACTGACGGACCCTTAAATTTTCCGAAGGCGCCAATATATACTTATTTCAAAGGGGGAGCGCGCGCCAAAAAACGCGATTTTTTGGTAAAAATTTTCCAAAAAGTGCCTAAAAACGCCTTTTTGGCCTGCTTTTTTTTGAACAGAAATTTTGGCCGAAACAGGGACTTTTTAGTGCTTTGGGAGAGCTCGGAAAACTAATTTGGTCGACAAAAAAAGGTCGACAAATATTGGAAAAAGTTTTTGAAAATCCGCCCCTCTCTGGAGAAAATCTTAGATCCGTCCCTGGATATGTTAAAGATTAAAAGTTATTTAGGTCAGAAATTTGAGTCCAATATGAAATTGAGGCATAGCATAGCTTTCTCAAAACATTGAGTGATTTAAGGTCTTGAAGTCTTATCTGCCTACATGCATTTTTGACATCTGTGAAATATCAAAGAATATTTTAAGAAAACTGTAAAGTTGAAGGACCTAAACAAATGTTTACCTAGTAAGGTTTTAAACTAACTTACGATTGATCCGAGCTATCAGATTGGATAACGATGTATATGAATCGGACATTTGACAAACAAAGAGTTTAACTTATTTTAGGATAATCAAATTTGAATAGATGTTCACTGAACCCTATAGGCTTAAATCACAAGGGCATCGATTCTTGTTTAGATCTTAATTCGAAACTAGATTTCGATCTCTAGGGAAAATTGAGCCGAAATTTAGACTATTCAGAAATCTGTTCGTATAGTTTGAGGTCACCCGACTCCATTGGTACAGTTTTTGGAATAGTTGTCTAGTTTGAGAAAATAAAAATAATAATATTGTTGTCAAAGAACTTTATTTGATTAGTCGATCACAGATTATGGTAATCCTAACACGTAGTTTGAAAAGAAAAATTGCAAATCAAATTTTACATTGAAGTATTACGGTTAGTTTTTCTTTTTGAGAAAGACAGGAACTTCAAATGAACTTTTAACAGTAACCGTTATGAATTACCCTTGTTATCATTTCATTTACTAGTAAGCAATGATTTATTAACCAATGAGTGAAAAAAAATTGTTTTAGAATTTCTTCGTGCAAATCATCTAAAATCTGCGAAGCGAATTATCGGCTAAAGTAATAGTTACGCAACGCAGTCTCTTACATCCGAATTCAATCCAGGAAGAACAGGAAAAGAATGAAATCTTTCATGGAAAGCAATTGCTCCCGACATGACGTAACAAACGACTCCAAGGTAACCACATCATCACTGACAAGCAATTCGGGTCTACTCGGCACGAATAATAACGAGACAACGCCACCCGGTAAAACGACACTCGAAGGAAACTTTAACGATGAAAAGACAGAAAATCACGTGGTGGTCGAAAATGGAGATCACGTGATTAAATCAGGTCCTGTGGAAAATGACGCAGATGACGATGAACAAATTGATGTGGAGAATTCAGATTTGGAAACTTCGTCCGAAGAAGTCAAAAGCCGAAACAAAAAACAAAGTAAGATGAACAAACCATTTTTGAAGACTTTTTTTCAGTTCCCGTAGAACTTAATGCATGTCTTTTGAATTAGAGACTAGAAATTTTGACATGATTAAGAGCGTCACACGGCGTATAGATCTTGTGATCAGAACGTCAGAGATCGCGTGTGGTGTTTTGACATGAAACATTTCGTATGTTGTCTGCTCTGATTGCAAGTTATCCTAAAAATCATCCCCATAGGAAAAATCTGCTGCTCGGAGCCACAATTATTTCCCATTTGAGGTGTACTCACGTGAAGGGCGGCAATTCGCAACAAGGCACTGCAAGTAGAATACCCTTGCTCCGCTGCGCTTACATTTTCACGCTTTTTTCTGTGTTTTTTTTAGACAATCAGATATGTCATAGGTATTTGGTGCGTTTAATTTAATTTTGGTTGTTTTATTTTTTTTCTCACATTTCTATTATCTCTCGAATAATTAGCATATTTTTTATTTTTAAAAAAATGTCCGTTTCAGGGTTTGCCACCATATCTCCTAATTGTTTGTTTATATAAAAAAAGTGTTTTTTTTTGTTTTTACAAACATTTTTCCTTTTTGATTTAAGTGTTTGGATGAGAAACCAAAAACATTTCCTAAAATAGAACTATCCTTTTCGGGTATTTTTGTTTTATAGAATTAACGAGACATTAATACACGCCTGCATTATGAAATTTAACTAAAACAGAATAGATTTTGGGTTCACTCAGCGCCACTTTTGCGGTAGTTTATGAATACAAATATTTATTTCAAAGGTTTCTCCTAAGGTCAGATTTATGAAAAATCTTTTGTTCCTAGTTTGCCTTTAATCGCAGCTTTGATTTCTTGAGTTTAACCGGCAGTATTAACGTTTACTTTCATATCGATAACTGTTTTATCTTTTGTTGTTACTTTTCGGGGCTTAAGAAAACAACAGTTTTTTACAGTCTAATTAGGAGATAACTCTAAATAACAAAATATTTCTATTTGAATTTTTTCCACCCTGAGGATATATGTTTCGTAATTTAAGGAAAAATAAATAGGTACTAGGCGGATCGCTAATAATCATGTCGCCACTGCTTAAACGAATTTTTCAGGCGTGCAATTTTTCTTTTATGAAAACGCCCGCTATCAGTCATTGAAAAAAATCGGAGGCATAATTCGGCCTGATGGCTTGTTGACAAAGTGTTTGCAATATTTTTCAAATGTTGTTTTAAATATCAAGGAGTAAAAGCGATTTCTTCGGCTCTCTTCTCCTTCTATGCGTTTAGTATGACTTCATTGGCATACAAGGAATCTCCAATTTGGCGTTTTTAGAGCGTCATTTTTGACGGCAGGTCTACTTTATTCTGTAGAATAGGCAAAAAACGCAAGTTTTCGAATCAAAACTGAAGAAGAGTGTTAAAGCGAAAAAATAATTGCTGGAGATCATTTTTAGCGTATGTGACAAAATATGTGATGTGACTTCATATAAACTGAAGGTTAGGTTAGAAACTTCTATCAAACCATATTTTTGTCAAGTTAATACAAATCAAACGTTGATTCAAACTTAAATTAAATATAAATTATGCTCTCTTCGTTCCTTTTGTCTAGAATTTTAGAATGATGCTTCACTTAATTCGAATCATTTATTTTCAATTATCACATTAGGAGTCTTAATTATTGAAAAGAAAAATGCACAACCAGCTTATGAAGAGCACTTGGTGTTTGTTGCAATGGTTCTATGCTATTTAGAATATCTGGTGTTTGAGATTCTTACTAATGTATTTGTCGCTTATTTTATTTTTTCGGTATATGTTTGAGTTTTTGGTATATGTTTTTGGCACAGGTTTTGACAAATCCAGTGGCACGTTTGTTATAACAGGTAAAAAACATTAGAAAATAAAGAAAATTTACGTTTATAAAAGTTTCACGCTGTAGTAAACATAGTCTTAGAAGCTAAGTTATAAAAAATAAATAACCTACCACGTCTATTATATTTTAATACATATTTTTACCTTCACATTCTGGTAAAACGTGCCAAATAGATTTTTGCATGCAAAAAACACAATTTATTCTGGTTATTGTTTTAAATCAGTTTCGTAAATTGATAAAGTAAGTTTTCCATCTAAATTTGAACTATTTATTTTTTATCTTGACATACCTATTTCACTGAAAAATTTTATGTGCATCAATTGGCATAGCGGTACTGCTTTTAAACTTTTTTGCTGTATTTAACCGTATCTTGGTTATTAAGTAAAAGTTGATTTTAACTAATTATCTCGTTCAAAATTAGATAAAGTTATTTCAAGACTGGATAAGGCATGCAGGCAACAGGGAGCCCCCGCTATTTCTAATAACTAGCCTTATATTTTTCAAGGTCCGCCTTTAAAAAAAATAGTCCCTAAGTTTGTTCTAAGACAATGCTTTAAGATAATGCTTCTACTTTTATGTTATTTTTTGGATAATTTTAGGAAATTCTATAATAACCTTTAATGAATTTTGTGGGAAATTGCTTAGAATTAGTTAGAACTCATAATTACCGTTTATTATTGCTTTTAGCTGATAAGAAAGAAGTTAAAAATGAGCCACTTGGAAAGAGCTCAGAATATGGTTGCGATTGGTGTCACGACACTTTCAAAACAATTGAGCAACTAAAACTCCACGAGCTGACTTCGTGTCCAGAGTTGCAACAGCCGAGAAACAATCTCTCACCCCCGACTACAGGCAGCGTCCCCTCGACCGAATCAATTTCGAAACTAATCAGTCAAATCACAAAGTCACAAGAGAGTCATTTTGCAGCGCCCGACAGTCGTGTTCATACAATTCAAAAACCGCCGCCCGCGAAACCTGATTTTTCAACTTTAACTAGCATTTCACAGTTTTCCCCATATGGTAACTCCTCTTCGCTTTCGCCGACATCCGCACCCAACTTTGCAGGAGCGACTGCCGAATCTCAACAACTGAAAGAAGTTTTAGACAGGTTGAGCGCTCGGAGCCGAGAACATCTGTCGCCGAGTGAATCTCTAAATTCGGGAATTTTAACCGAACAACAAAAGTTTCTAATCTATCAACATAATCAGCAACGAATAAGACAACAGCACAGCCAGTTTTTAGCGAGCCAACACAGGAACTTCCAGCAAAGCGCTGCCGCTTACATATCGTCACAAAACTCAGGAGCTTATCAAGAGTATCTAAAAAGGCTCAGTGCTTCGAATTCTCTTCACGCGTTAAACGAAGCTATTCGCTCTGCCAAAATGGCCAGCAAATCTACCCCTCCCCCGTTGGAAAAACCAGGAGTGATCGTACCCCCACCCCCTCAGCTTCTGAGACCGACTACTCAAAGCTCAGCCGAGATGTTCAAAGCGTCCGAGCCACGACAATCATTGCCGGAAACGTCGACACGACCCGCGATGTGTCATATTTGTCGGATTCAGTTCACAGACATTGAGTACTTAGCACGTCACTACATAGACAGTCACCCGTCGTTGTTGCCAGGGTTGAGTCCCACAGGTTCCAGCGTGTCACCGGGTCTTCAAGGTATGGGGTTCGGGAGTGGTAGCCAGTTCAGAAGAATAGCTGGCAGGACTGACTCTGTTATCCAACCCCACCCTTCCAGAGTAGATATTTCCAGCCCACTCTCAAACAACCCCCACTTTCTAGCATTATCTAATCAAGGGAAGCTAGCGATATCTTCTCTGCCTGTAGACGTCTCATCCGCTCACCGTGAGATGCAACATGCTCGATTACCACCCCCACCTGTAAGTATATTTTATATCATTTTGCTTAGCGGAAGAGTGGGGGGGGGGATTTTTTAACTGGGGGCTTGATATATAGTGAACTAGCAATCACATCCTATAGTACAGAACATCTGATACATTCTATTAACATGCTTCGGCATTTAAAAGATTTTTGTTCAAATAATAACTGAGACTCTTGACTTCTTTTTTGGCTGCTAATTTTGTTTCAACATCAACTTTGTTGTGATTGAGACTAATTTACCTTAACTGAAGAAAAAAGAAAATTGAAGAGTTTGGCAATTAGGGGAAAACTTGGTTTTTATTTTAGTTTTTCTTTGAAAAACTGCTAATTGCCAATTTTCTCAAATTGGAAAAATTACTGAGCTTTCTCTCAAATGAATGAGTTTTTCTTGATTTTTTATATTTTAACTGTCGAAAAAAATTGTAATGTCGAATTTATTAAAAGTTTGCGTGACATTTTTTATTTTTCTAAAATCAAATCAATCCTGAAATTTATGCTTTTTTCAAATAGTTGCACCAAATGGAGAAAAAAATTTCAGACTTTTTCTCAATTGAACTTTTGGCGCAATAAATTTCTTTGATGTCTGATTTTCAAAAAAGGGGCAACGCCTCTCGCATTCAAGATGAAACAAATTTGATGATCCTTAAAAGGAAATCACCCTTTGTCTTACGTTTTAATAGGCAATTTATAAAGATTGAACTGCTAAATATTAATCCCTATCAAATTAACTTTTCATAACTGCTCTATGAAGCTTCCGCTAGAGCTTCTAAAACTCAATTGTTGAGAGATTAGCTGCGCTCCTAAACACCAAATCCCAAATCTGAAAAGCGCAAAAAATCATCAATAATTCATTTAGTGTTTCTCAATCAAGTTGAAATTTAGAATTCGCCTGTTTAAAATTGGATACTTGAGCGCTTAAAAATCGATTCATATACTCCTAAGTATTGTTTGTTTCAGCGGCTGCTGAATTTTTTAAAAACGGAAGATCTTTGTTTCGCTTTTCACAGATCGAACGTGCCTATAGGTCATCGAACTTTCTATAAATTATGGAGTAACTTGAATTTTAGGAGCACACACAAGCTGAGTTTCTCAAACAACATTAATTTTGTGTGCCAGGATGCAAAAAAAATTGACAGTTAGAAAAAACGTTTAAGAGTTTATTGTTGTTTTTAAATGGTAAATTTCCAGTTTCTCAGGATCTTTTTTAAATATAAGTGATGCAGATTCAAAATAAAGTGACTATTTGACTGTTGCGTATTCTTCATCATTCATTTGTGAACAATAAAATCATTTCACATTTCGATGGTTTTGTCACAAATTTTCGTTTCAAAAGAATGCTTACTGTATTTAGGATTGCGCACTAAAACGCCTATAAAAACGTGTTTCAATTAAAATAAACAAATCTTGATATTAAAATGACATTTTTATGCTAATCCGGTGTCACATTTTAGGGCCATCAGTTTTGGGGTGTTACAGAAAGCATTACAATTGTTAATGTCTTTCCGTTGTCAACCCAAATTGCGTAACATTTGAGAGTGATTTAAAAGGCAATAACTCAAGCTTGTTATACTCATAATATGGCATTAATGTTTAGTGTTTAATTAATATTTTTCTTAGCAGTTCAATAAAGCACCTGTTGTTTGTTCATTGAAACTCATCATTAGTATAATTTTAACTAAATCTCAAAAAATAGTGACTTTTGACCTCAACTGAAAAACTTTGGGATTGAAAATTGACAAGATCAAGATTTTGGAAGTTTTTTTTGGTGTTTAGCAAATATGAAAAATGCCTTTTTCTCTAGAGTGCCCTATGAAAAAACGGTTACTTCGTGTGTAAAATTTTGCCGGGAGTAAAAGCACTGCAGTTGCCATGAATATTCTTCAGTTTTTCGAAAGTTAAAACAACATGTGGCCGAATTGATGTAGAGACATTTTAACGCGATTTCAAGCATCTCAAAGAAGGCTCGTAATAGATCAAGTTTTCACCATTTTTAAGACTTTTAAATTATAATTAAAACTTTTTAAATAAGCTGAGAAAAACGGGTTCAAATATTGCTGCTTCTGAGACTTATGTACAGCGAAGAATGAAAAAAACCGAGGCGCACTTAATGGTCCAAATACTCTATTGTTTTTCTAACATTTTTTTGTTATCTTAAATTCAATAAAAACCATGATTCATAAAAATCAATAAAAATTGTTCTGAAAAGCAAAAAAAAACAGTTTTCTTCAAAACTGATAAATTTCGAAACCTCTTAGTTTAAATCAGTTAACAATTAAAAAAGTTCCGATACGATACATCTCTTGTTTGCTATATTAAGTATTTTTAGAGAAAAAAATCTGAAGCTTTAATTACCTCACTTTATGGTCAAAACAAGAATATTTTTGTTCAATTTGTGGTTTTCTGGTATTTCTTTTAAACTATTTTATTCCAAATTACTTCATCCGCCTAGATTAAATGTTTTGACATTTTTCGAAACTTTCGATATGAGTCGCGGATTGTTGACCCACTTAGCTCGTGTTAAGTTTGCGAACCTTTTTGCAAATAGACTTAGTAATTGTTGTATCTTTAATTTGGATTAAGGTCCCCGTTTATAGTTTGAGATTAGGGCTTTTTATGTCAGCTTATGGACTTTGTGAGCAAACAAATCGAAAGCAAGTTTTGGTTTTTTCTCAAAGGTCAACGACCGACAGTTTACTCTGTTTAATCGATTCAATCGAGCTACATTTAATTTTGATAGTTTTATGTAGCTGCGTGATAGTTTTTGTATTATTATTTACTGTATATTTATGCATGAGTGTTTTTGAAAGTAAAAATGCCTAATTTTTCTACTAGGTGCGTAAGTTTTTTGACCGTATTAATAAAACAAATGACACATTGATAGAAAATTGATTCAAAACTAGCTCAATTTAAAATTTGAGCTGAAACTATGATAGTTTGACTTATAAAGCTTCGTAGCTGTCAACCTTCGAAACTTAAACTGAAGTCTTGAATTACTCTTTCAAAAGTACAATTTTAATGAACAAGTCTCTGGAAATTTAGTTTTTGATTTAAAATTGCAAATAACTTTGTCCTAATCACAATTACTTTTAAAAAAGTTCAGCAGTTTTGATTTGCGTAGCTCGAAAAAAAATTGATGACTTCGGTAATCAATTTCAGATTTATTTTTAAATATTTGAAGAAACGGGTAAAAACGAGTTTTTTTAAATTTCATTCCGATTTGACGTCGAAAAGCCCCTCGTTTCTGCTTTGGTTGAGAGTGACAGGTTAAAAAAGTGTTCATCAGCTCAATTTCAGATGAGCTGATAGTGAAAAATGGGAGAAAAGAGGTGCTTCTAGCAGACATTCCGTCCCGTGTCACCTCTCGAAGGAGGGGAAATTGGGGGTGATTGAAACAAAAACAATTTAGCGCTCGCAATCTAGTCTGTTTATAAGAGCTTGTCACTATTTATTTTAATAATTTTCAATGAAGGCAAAGTGAGGCACCCTTTAGAATGTGCCTGAAAAACTCTTATTAGAATTTTAAGTGCCGAATTTTAATCAGTTTTTTTTTTTCAAATGTTAGCTAATCGAATTTTCTGATGATTTCTTCAACTCCATTTATTGATGCATTTCTTCCCAGATGATCCCATGAGATAAAACTGGAGTCAAAAAATTTAACTAAAAATGAGGTTTTAAACCAAATTAACTAAATTTTTGCTTATCTTTTTTCCAAGCAGATATTCTGTCGCCTTTTTTGTCTATCTGGAAAATTTAATTGCCCATTTCGAGATTATTTGGGTCCTAATTTGGCACCAACTCTCCTTAGTTTTTCAAAAAATAATTTGATTTCATTAATTTTGAGCCACTTTCAATTCAAACAGGGGGCTTCAATTGATAAAAGTTTTGCCTAACCACCCCTTATTTGATACTTAATCGCCTATTTTACCCATCTGAGTCAATTTAATCAGCCCATAGCTTTTCACTAAATTAGAGAAAGTACTAAATTTGCACTTGATAACAGTGCTTTTTAACTGATAATGATTACCTGTGAGAATTGAACGAGCTCACAAGTGAAGAAATCATCAAAATTAAGAGTCTTTGAGGAACCATTGAAAAGTTAAATTTATATTTGTGGCGCCAGCTTGTTTGAACCAGACAATAATTGAACCAAATTTGGTTAAAACAAAAAAAAACTCTTTTAAAAACCAAATCAGAGAAATAGCTAACTTAGGAAAATATGCATCGAATCATAATAGAAAAACAAAAAGTTTTCAAAGTCCGTTCTATATTTTAACTTGAGCTCTTGCTATTGACAGTGAATTACGTATAGAAAGATTTTTGAAATAAAAGGTCAGAAATGAAGTTGAGGGCGAAAATAAATAATTTGTTTGTTTTCAGTTCTTCACGTCCCCGACTAGTGCACTAAATGAGTCACTCATTCGTCAACACCAGCAGCAGCAGTCACTACAAAGCAGCAAACTCAGTTCAGAAGGGGTGGGGGGACAAGGCCTGGTCACACCTCCCGGTAGCACTACTTTGTTGCCGTCACCCCCAACCCACCCCCAGAACCCATTCCAGTCTCTAACGCACCCCCACCAATCACATCGAGGCGCAGGGGTACCTCACTCATTGCTCGAAGGAGTGCAACACGCGGGTGGGTTGTTGCCGACGGCGACTGGCAATCCGACAGGGGTGGTTGGGACAGGACAGTTCCGTAAGTTCAACAATCATCATAGTTTAAAGCTATGATTTATAACATCAAAGCTCTTTTTCCAACATCAAATTTTTCTAACATCAAATTGATAACATCAAAGCTCAGATAACATCAACATGGTTGGTCTTCTTAGTCAACCTTGTAAAATCACTCGTTACACCATAAAATTGATGAACATGCCAGGTGAGTGGAGAGCCTAAAATTTTTGTTCAACTCTCAACTAAACAGTTACGATGATATAATGTAACTGAAACTTCAACAATAACCAGAATAACTGGTTACAAATAGCACAGAATTGTCCCACTACGCGAAATTTTTATAACAAAATATAAAAATATGAAGCAAATTTGAAAAAAAAGAAAAATTTACAATTTTTTGTTTTCGTTTTTTTTTTTTGAACGGAACATTCTGTGCTGCTCGAACAGCAAGCGGCTATTCTTTTTTAAGTATAGCCTGAATTAAAAAAAACAGAAATTTATTGCGATGAAGAATATTTGGCTAGTTGATGGCTTATTTGGATTTTACAAGTTGTGTTCGTACAAGATGGGACTAGCGTAAAAGCTAAATTAATTTTTTAAACTATTTTTTAAATAGTTGTCTGATAATTTTTTTCATTTGCTAAATTTTTTGAATTATTTTTCAAAAATTACAGTTTTTTTTGTTTCAGTTCCGCCTCTTCTCGGCTCGCGGGGAGAACTGACACTCGGGCCCGACGAGCGAATAATCACGTGCGGCGTCGGACCCGACATGTTTCTACTATACAGGTGCGAAAGCTGCGAGTACACCACCACAAATGTTCACGCTCTGCAAATACACCAGAAAAGTCACCTCTATTCGCACATATCGTGCAAAATATGTCACGCTACCTTCGTGAACCGAGACATGCTTGAAGAGCACATGAAGACGCACAAAGTGGGACCTGACTTCATCTGTGACATTTGCGGAACTGGCTTGAGAACCTTGCAGAAGATCGTACAACATAGACGAACCCATACTGGCGAAAAACCATTCAAAGTAAAAACGATTCTTCAAAAAAAATTAAATAAAAACTTAAGAATATTTTTCGCAAACGGATTTGTCGACCCCCTCTGAAGTTTTTGTGTGCCACTAATAAAAAAAACGGGAACAAAATTTTGAGCTCGAACAAAAACTGTAACATCAACACAGCTCCAAAAATTCCTGCAAAAATTGAGCAAAACAGACATTGTGTAGCTATGCACAGAACATCGCCTTTTTTACACCTGCTTAAGAGAATTTAGAAAACATTCATTTTTTTTAATCAGATATGATATGAAATTTTATATGGAACAGTTGAAATAAATTTTATGAAATTATTAAAAAGTTTTCGATGTATCTATTGTTAACACTTTGCTTAGTTTGGAAGTCTGAGAGTATATAGCCTATTGTTCGAAGGATTAGCGTGTTTTCAGATGTTTATTGAAAAAATCCTCATAATCATGCTAATTTTCCTTCGTCCAATAACGGACTCGGTATCTCGAATTTCAACTTCACAAAGTAGTTAGCTCACCTTTAATCCAACTTTTGTTTCAATTTGCCTCTTTCTTTTGTTTTTTTTTCTGTCGCCATTTTGAAAAAAAAAATCTTTACTTTGAGAGCTCATTATATCTAAACTATCCAGGAGTGAATTGTTTTGCAAGCTCACACAGAGATCAAATATTTTCAATAACCACTCATTAATGACGGCGAAACAACCTACAAAATAAAGTAGAAAAAATTGAAAAATACAATTTTCTTCATGTTCAAAAACAGTAATCGAGTCAATTTCCACTGATGAAAACCTTGTTGAATTCTTGAGTTTTTTCAATCGCTACCTGTTGGCGCTTCGGTGTCTGAGATGAAAAAATTACAAAACACTATCTTAGGAAAACACCATAGAACTCCACCTTAAAAGCAAAAAAAAATGAGAAAAAGGATGGGAATTTAAGTTATTTTCACTCCTCGATGCGAAAAAGTGTCGATAAGGAAAGCTTTGTTGAGAACATGCGTTAATTAGGACTGAATTGGAATTGATAAATTGAGATTGGGGTTAAAATTATTGTTTTTTATAGCTTGATGTTTTTTCTATCAAGTATTTAGGCGTTGAATAGTGTCTAGTTTTTAAAAAGTATCGCTTCTGATAATTTATTTTGTTGATAGTGTATCAAAAACCGCGTTAGATGCACGCAATTAGCATCCATTTAATGTTCCAGTCATCATATATAATCAAAAATAAACTTTTCTAATTTTGAATTTTCTACGAGAAGAAACTTTCATTAGGGTTTAAACGCTTAAAATTTGCGTCTGAAAGCTCTCTTGATGCTTTTAATACTAAGGCATCAGGGCAGAATCGGGGGCAGTGTGTGTGTGTGTGTGTGTGTGTGTGTGTGTGTGTGTGGGAGGGGGGGGGCTTGCCTAATTATCTGTGAATAATTCGATGCCAAATTTGTTATGGGGCGAGTATACTATGTATTTATACGTCATAACTTTGATTTTAAGTTATAAGTAGTCCCTATTTTTAGTGTGAGAAGTGCGACTACAGATGCAGTCGGAAGGACAATCTGAAACTGCACTTCAAGCGACATTTGGAGAAGCAGTTCTTCTGCAGAATCTGCAGGTACGGGGCAGGAGACATGAAGGATCTGCAGAAGCACTACATTAAGAAACACAATCGCGAAATGCCAGAAGGTAAGCAGAACAACTTATACACTGTCATTCAATCCCCCCCCCACCACCACGCGCGCGCAAAAAAAGCATACTTAAAAAATATTTTTTTTTTCGTTTATTTTTTGCAAAAATAACAGCTTTTATTGTTTCCCGTTCCATGCGACTGCCTATAGTCATCAACTACAGCAAATTGTCTTTTTTTAAAATTTCATGACCTTTCTTGAGGCCAGCCAATTTGGCTTTTCGTGGCATGCGCGGGAAGTTTGTCGAACTTTTTTTAGGTCAACCAAATTCATTTTTTGAGGTTTCACAAACTTCAGCCAAATTTCCTCAGGCGCCGCAGGCAAATTTTAAAAAAGCCAGGGTCAAAATGACCTTTCTACGTACTTTTTGGAAGGTTTTGATCTATAAATTGCACTCACGCCTCAAAATCAGTACATATTGTCGTCGAAAAATTAGAAAAAGTTCCTTAAGAAAATTTCAGGGTCGATCGGCCGAAAACTGATGTCATAAAATAGCTCCTAAGGGTGGATCAAAATTGTAGTAAGGGCGGTCACCTCTAAAATGTCACTAATTAAGTACATTTTCAGCTAGAACAGAACAGCTGATAGTGCGGGTCAAGAATACCGTGCTTAAGTAATTACATAGGCTTTGCTTCATCGCGAGAGTGTCTGTTCGAACTCACCCGTGATCAAATTATCTTAAGAATTCTTACGCACTTGCGAGCCAAAATTCTTTTCTACTTCACACTAATTAAGAAAATTTTATACCGTCTGGCTTTTTTTAATGCTAAATCTTGATCGATCGCATTCATAGTAGACTTCAGACTTGCGAAAGTTAAACGATCAAAAAAGGATTATTTTATACTAATGGTGCTTGAATGCAACTATTTGATACATTAAGTCTTAAGTGAAGTGGTAAAAAGATTAAAAAGATGCTTCCAAAGTTTGTAATGTAACAAGTTAGTTGTTTTTCCTCACCAAGCTCAAAATGAGACATTCAAATTGATAACTCTCAGCCCAAAAATTCCCTAAATGTTTGCTGCCTTATTTGCTCTGATTAAAATTTGAGCAAATTTTTGTAGGTTTTCTTTTTTCATTCGATGTTTTGCGGAATAGGAGGCAAAAATGGCGTGATGTAATTCTGACGAACAGCGCACAACCGCGACTGCTGTTAAAGCTTGTATGATGGTAAATTTTCTCAAGCATAGTCGTCTCAGAACCAAATAGTGATCCCGATGTCCATAGACCTTGATCATAGGGATCTATTTTTGTTGTCGATAAATTGTCCTAAATGCCCATTCAGGACTATTTCAGGACTGTTCAAATTTTAAAAACCCTCTATGGTACACTGTAGCATATAAAATCAGTCGCACTGCTTCAAGAATAATTTAAAAAATTTTTAATAATTTAAATGTATCATTAACTTATTCTGGGAAATATCAGTACAAAAATGCGATTCGCTGGTAATAATCGCACTGTATTTTTAGAGCACCGTGCTTTGACTCTGATGTCAGTGGACCCAATGATGCGAGACCTCCGAGGACGCAGCGAATCCAGTCTCCTCACAGACCCCCTCAAGAGTAAGTCATCATATTCCAATTATTATATCTTCAACTCAGGAGTGAGTCATCATATTCCAATGATTCGATCTTAAACTTGAGAGTGAGTCATCAAGAGTGAGTCATCATATTCCTATGATTCGATATTAAACACAAGAGTGAGTCATCAAGAGTGAGTCATCATATTCCAATGATTCGATCTTAAACTCAACATGCGTTGTTTAAACTTGTGACCGGCAACTAAGACGACAGAGGTTAAGACGACCACCGTTTTTGATGAGACTTTAAAAGGACGCTACACGCAATTCTCCACATTGCATTTCTGAGAAATTTAAACCACTTAACCCCTTATTTGTCGTCTTAATGTCGTGTCGTTTTAATGGCTTGTCGTCTTATTTACCTTGCACCGGTTAAACTCACCTCGTCCTCGCCTGCAACTTTTAAAACATTTAAACAAAAAAAAACAACAAATTGAAAATAATTTCTGATTTTGTTAATTAATTATAAACATATTTAGTAAACACGTGATTCCGTCTTCCGCAGTTTATTGGAATATAAATAGATAAATCATATCAGTAATTGCTAACTAATATATTTTTTACTTGTTTCAGGAGACTTGTCTTATGTGTGTGAGTTGTGTGGCTTCATGGCCAGCAGTCCCTATGGCCTCGAGAAGCACAAAAAGCGAAGCCATACAGCCATAGACAAGATATATTCGTGTCAATTCTGCAATTTCCAGTGCGCCAGAAAAGGTGTGAAGAATTTTCACTTGACACCTCGGACCGATTTCTGAGTCATGAAAACTGGAACTAAGTTAGCATCCCCCCCCCCCCCCCCCGTTAGCGTTTGAGGGGGAGGATATCAATTTGGTTCTTGGTTTGAATTTTCAGCCAGTCAGAATCAAGTATTTTACACGCAGCGCTAAGCAACTTTAATCCAAACAAAATGTGGGGTGAAGGATTTTAACTTCGAGTATTTTTTTTGGGGTGGGGGGGGGAAGAGTTTTTGTTAATTTGACCCGAAATTTGTTCAAGCTTTTATGAATTCCTGAATAAAGGATTCAACAGCGACACATTATTTGTAGCTCGAATATTCATATTTTCCTCGTCGCTGAATGATCTTTTAGGAATCAAAATTTCAATTACCTCCTAATGCTGTTATGGATTTTACACAACAAAATCGTCCGAGTAGAAATTCTAATAGATAAATTTGTTGGGTTTTGGGTGAGATAGAATAAAATTTAATAGCCTGAATGAAAAATCTCTTTAGGAATGGATATTTTAGAGATTATAAACTTATAACAGATCCAAAAATTCACAAAAGCGTCCCTCGCAACACTTTTGCAGCGACGAAACTAAAACAAAACAGTTTTATCGTTCTTTTGTTTTTTGTCAATTTATGGGAGAAAATGTGTATTTTTGAAGTTGTATCCTGATCAAAAATTAATGCGATAAAAACTGACACATTAGCCCGCAGTCCCGCTTTAATAACTGCGCTGTTTGTTCTAATAATTCTAAATTAATTGGGTTGTTAGGCGAAAATTCCAAAGATAAGGAAAAGCCACAAGAAAAATTCAGTTTTTCCCTGTGCTCCCACGGCATTTATTTTTATTAACATCTCCCCATTTATTAACAATTGTTTTTGACACTTTCAACATAAACAACTTTCTTGTTTTCCATTCAGTGATTAATAATGAAAAGAAAATGTTCGCTCTTATCTTGCGCTAAATCAAAAGTTTTCCCCAATAAAAAGATCAAAACAAATATTTTTCAACTTTCTAAAAATTGACATAGGCTCTAAGGAATTTCGATTTTACCCAAACCTCAAATACTTCTCAGATCCCGAAAATGAAACTTTGTAATATCAGCTTTGATTAGACTTCTCTTACAGCGTGCATAATGTTTGAAGTCATTGTCGTATAATTATTTTAATGTTTTACGGATAAGATTTCATGGCTTTAAAAAAAGGTGATAAAATTTATCAAATTGTTGGTTTTGTTTTCAGTTAATTTGGCCATTCATATGCGACAGCATCCGGTTCCTATTGGATACAAAATCCCCCCTCCTACAACTCCGAGGCCATCTGCTCCCCCTTTGGGGGGCAAAATCGAGGACTATCCGGGCCTATTGAGACCCACTCAAGTCTCGACTCTGAGATCCGAAAGCGAGAGTCCGGAAAAGTTCTCGCCGATAAGCTCAGTTGCCAGTTCGGACGTCAACATGAAAATGGACCCGAACAGCCCCGAAACCGAAACAGAGTCGGAACACTCGTCAGGGGTTATGAAATACGAGTTGAAAAACCGAGTCGAGAAAAATAATCGAGTGACTCCTTTCTCGGAACCTCCCGGATGCTCGTCGACACAAAGCTCGCCGGTCGTTTTTGCAGACGACCAAGGCCTGACTACTTTTGCATCACGGAAATCGGAAAGTTCTTTAGCTGCAAACCTCAAAATGAATCATAGTTTTCTGTCAAAATTTCCATTGTCTTCGCTTTCAAGAAGCGAAATAAAGGAAATTTTGAAATCCGGACCACTAAACATGTCAAGTGTTGACGATATTGAAATGAATGACGACGATGAAATGAATTCCGACGACGAAGAAGCTACTGATGACGTAATGGATTTCGGTAGAGACAGCTCGCTTAACCCGATTTCTTCTGACTCAACTCAAGTCAAAAATGAAGAGGAATTGACGAACGACATGCCGATGTTTTCGGAGTCGGAAGTTCTCGACTTGACGACAAGTAATAGTCCGACAATGAAAATCAGCCAGTCGCCTCTGCCTTCCCCACCAGCAGCTATTGCATCGCCGACTGTCACTATTGTTACGTAATGACAATGTTACGCAATACTTTTTACAATGTTACACGCAATGTATGTAACACATACAAGCCAAAATAGATGAGAATTTTAGTGTAACTGACAGCAAAACTTTCAATTTTTTAAAGTGTACTTCAGATTACGGACGTTTAAAAAATTTCCAGTACTTACAAGCATGTGTTTTATTTCTAAATTCACTGTTTGATCAATGTTTCATCAATTAAATGCCTTACTTTTTTGCGCTGGAGTCAAAACTAAAATTGATGGTTTATTATTTTCAAAAAATAGTAATTGATCATTTATTGACTAAAATTATGACCTTTTCATGGATATTCTTTCTTATTCTTGTATTCAAGCGTGTTTTCGAATGTAATATTTTTGATATAGCTTTTGTAAAAAAATGACTTTCCTAATTTCATGACTTTTCTTTCGCTTATTCATGCTTTATTTCACGTGGCTTTCTACTTCGAAATATCACTCTTTCAAATAAATGGGCGCAAAATTTCTTATGAAGTTAAAATGATCATAAACGTAAAATACGCCCATTTAAATGTTGCTACTTTGCCTTCATTTGTATTGTAACCGCAGCATTAGATTGTGTTTTTTTTTTATTAATGAAAATGCCATATGCATTATAACTAGAAGTTGCTTCAATCATTAATCTATCTCTTTCGCCTTGGCTATCACTGGCTGCATTTTGTTGTTTTTGACTCTAGACTTTTCTGACTATATAATCTATGTGTAAATTGGCTGTAATCTGAACTTGTCGGGTAGAAAAATACTCTGAGTTTGATGACATAAATATAAAATTAAGTGATGTTTAGATTGATAAAATGATTATCAAAATATTATCAAAGATAAGTTGAAGGCGCTTCTGTGATAGGTGTTCATGCTTATTTTTCATTCTCAGGGATCTTTGTTAAATAGACGTTTATATGCTACCCGCAAATCCGAAAATTCATATTTTCGTTCCTTCACACCTTTTTTTGTCAGTAAATTCAGAAATAGAGCTGCGATTACACCAGAACTCACGCATGTGAAACCAAAAGAAGATAGAAATATAAACAAGGATAATCAGTTACTGTGCAAGTAGCACAAATTGTTGCGACCACAGTCTTAAAAAAGTACAATAAAATTTTTTTTCAAATTGGTGCTTTTTTCTGCATGTGATAAAAAATCTGAACGAAAAAAACTTAAGCATAAATGACAATCACAGTAACAAAAGCCATTCGGAAAACAGTTTTTGAGGAAAATTGACTACAAAAACTTTAAAAAAATTGTACAAAAATTAAAAAAAAAAAAAAAAAAAAAATTTTTCAATTTTTTTGCAGAAATTTTTGGAATTTTTAATCTTTAATGACAAAATGGCGCTAAAAACTCTTAAAACTACTTTTATCTGAGCACATCTAAGTTTTCGCGGCCTAAAGTAAGCCTACATAAGCTATTGTAAGCTTACATGCTCACACCATATTAGTTCGAAATCAAGAATTTCCTTCCGGTTTTTCTCACTGTGAAAAATTTTAAAGATTTTTAAATGTCGTCCAAATCATGACTGAAAGGGCTTTAATATGAGATATCATTCGACCCATTCCGATAAGTATTTCTGGTACCTGAGTTTGCGTGAAAAACAAACAGAAAAAAAACACCAGAATACAAAGTTCCTCCCCATTTTTCAAATGGTCGGAACAAAAAGATTAAAAAAAAAGGTCTGTAGTGGTCAGAAATTCAAAATTGTTAAACGCTACTTTCAGCTTGAATATTTATAATTGAATAGGAGCGGAAAATGGCCACAACTACAAAAATTATTCAACATTTGTAATTGTTATCTTCAGCGCGAATGTTTAAATTTGAGTTAGAGCGCAAACTCGCCACGGCTACAAAAATTGCTCTTATTTTTTTTTTGGTAATTGAGCGATTTCTCAAAAATGTAATCTATTTTCAATTTCGAAGTGTTTTTAAACTGGTGTTTTTTTTGCTATAGTAATTAGAAAAGTTAGTTGGAGCCTCGAAAACGAAAAAAAAAAGCAATTCTGCCCTCCCTAGTGAAAATTCTAGATCCACATTTTGTATATCTGTTAAAAAAAATGGAAACAGTCTTTGAAGATGGAGCGCTTATAATTAAAATGTATCTTAAGATGCATAAAAAGAGTTTTTACCTTTTAAGCAAACCAAAAGCAATGAATGATCCAAC